TTGCGTCCCCTCCGGCCCAGGTCCCCAGTCCAGTTGCTGTGTTTAGCCAGGTAGTAGTGTCCGGTCCGGTCGCTGTGTCCAGTCCAGTCGCTGCGTCTTGCTCCTGTCGCTCTCTCACCCACCGCACCGTCCTGTGGCACCACCGCCTTGGCCACCCGTCGCTCCCTCGCCTACGTGGCATGCTCAGTCAGGGACTTGTCTCAGGTCTCCCACGCACCTTCCCGTCGCTCCCTCTCTCGCTTGCCCCTCCTTGCTCTCCGTGTGTCGCCGGTCGCTTACGCGCCACTCCCCACTCCTCCTCCCTTCGTCCGGCCACCGCTCCATTCAAGACTCTCCACTTGGACGTCTGGGGCCCTGCCCCGACGCAGGGGTCTGGGAGGAGCGTTACTTTCTGGTGGTCGTTGACGACTTCTCCAGGTACACCACAGTGTTCCCTCTTGCGAAGAAGTCAGAGGTGACTGCTACGCTGATCAGGTGGCTTCTAGCCACTGAGGGCACTCGTGGTCGTCGAGTCAGTTGTCTCCACTCCGACCGTGGGGGCGAGTTTCGCTCCGGCATTCTCGGCGGTTTCTGCGGCGAACAGGGCATCACCCAGTCCTGGACGTTGCCAGAGTCCCCACAGCAGAATGGGGTTGCTGAGCGCCGCATAGGCTTGGTCATGGACATCGCCCGCACGTCCATGATCCACGTCCGGTTTGACGAGTCCGTGTCCTACTACACCCAGTACCCCTGTCGAGGTCTCCCGGTACCCCCTCCCCCTCTTTTCCTCGCACCCTCTCCTCCTCCTGCTCCCGCTCCTCCGGTACCCCCCGCCCCCCCCTGGTCCTGCCCTGTCTGGTGTGTCCCACGTTACCCCTCTACCCTCGGTCGCGCGTCAGGTAGCGGCTCCCTCCCCGCAGTCCTCCTCACAGTCCCCTCAGCAGCCTTCGGCACTTCCGCGACAGGTTACTGTGGACTCGGTTGGTGTTGGAGCTGGAGGTGCAGCCACTGGCGGTGCTCGGTCTGGGGGTACTCGGTCGCGGGGTGCTGGAGCTGGAGGTGCTGGCGCAGGTGGCGCCAGCTCTGGGGGTGCTGGAGCTGGAGGTGCTGGCGCAGGTGGCGCTAGCTCTGGGGGTGCTGGAGCTGGAGGTGCTGGCACTGGTGGTGCTAGTTCTGGGGGTGCAGGAGCTGGAGGTGCTGGCACTGGCGGTGCTAGTTCTGGGGGTGCTGGAGTTGGAGGTCCGGGCACTGGAGGTGCTGGTTCTGGGGGTGCTGAGTCTGAGGAGTCTGACCCTGGTTCTGCGGAGTCCACTCCGCCTCCCCACCGCCACGACACACGACTCCAGGCTGCCCGCTGGCGTGAGCGTGAGGAGCAGGAGCGGTTGGAGAGGGGGCGGCAGGAGCTGCAGGTGCTGGACCTTCTGGAGCAGCAGCGGCAGCAGCAGCAGCAGCAGCAGCAGCAGCAGCAGCAGCAGCAGCCGCAGCCGCAGCCCCCGCCGCAGCAGCAGCAGCCGCAGCCGCCACCGCAGCTTCCTCTGGAGCGGCGGTTGTTCCCACCTGTGAGTGGCCTGCGGGCCCTTGGTTTTTCCTCCTCTCCTCCTGTTCGCTCCCAGTCTCCTCCTGTGTTTGTTCCTCCGTTGCCTCCTCCTGACGACCGTCCGGCGGTCTGGTCTTCTCCTCCTCCCCAGTCTCCTCCTCCTTCGGTCCGTCGCGACTTGGTCACTCGTTGTCCTCCGCGTGCTCGTCACTCGTCCCCTGTTACTGACCTCCACACTGCCCTCCTTTGTACGTCTCGTCGTCGTTCTCCTTCTCCTGTGTCCGTTCTCCCGTCTCCTCCTCCGTCCTCTCTCCCAGCCCTCCCCACTCCTATCACTGACTACTACCGCACTGTTTGTCCTGTTGCCGCACGTGTCCTCGCCACTCTTGTCACCGACTCTCGTTTCCCTCCGTCGTCGGTCTCTGCTCTCACTGCCGCTGTCGCTGAGTTTGCTGCCGCCAGCCGCCTTGACTACGCCACCCGTGTGGTGCCAGCTCCTCCGTACCGTCCTCTGTCCGTCGGGGGTGGGTTTGCCCTTGGCTGTGACATCCTAGAGGACAGAGAGTCTGAGATGGTGTGCTGGGCAGCCGCTTCTCCCTCTGTGTGTGCCATGCTGCTCTCCCCTGAGGGAGACCCCGACGCCCTTGACATACCGACTCCTCGCACTTACCGCGAGGCAGTGTCAGGGGCGTGGGCCTCTCAGTGGAAAGCGGCTATGGACTCAGAGTTGGCGTCTTGGAGATCAACAGGCACCTACGTCGACGCAGTTCCCCCTCCCAGGGCGAACGTAGTCGATGGCATGTGGCTCTTCAAGGTGAAGCGGCCGCCTGGAGCACCGCCGGTGTTCAAGGCGCGCTACGTGGCTAGGGGCTTCAGTCAGCGTGAGGGAGTTGACTTCTTCCAGACCTTCGCCCCGACCCCGAAGATGACTACTCTTCGGGTGTTACTCCACATAGCAGCGCAGCGAGACTACGAGCTGCACTCCCTCGACTTCTCCACTGCGTTCCTCCAGGGCCGACTGCACGAGGAGATCTGGCTGCGCCGTCCTCCTGGCTTCACTGACACCTTCCCACCTGGGACCCAGTGGAGCCTGAGGCGACCAGTCTACTGTCTCCGCCAGTCGCCCCGTGAGTGGCACGACACTCTTCGCTCCACGCTTCGTGACCTTGGGTTCAGCCCGTCCTCCGCCGACCCGTCGCTGTTTGTTCGAGCGGGTTCTACTCCTTTCTTTATCCTTGTCTACGTCGACGACTTGGTGTTTGCTACAGCAGACAGGGCAGCCCTGGCTCAGGTGAAGTCCGAACTGCAGAAGAGACACAAGTGCACTGACCTGGATGAGCTGCAGCGTTACCTTGGCTTGAAGATCACCCGGGACAGAGCCGCTCGCACCATCACACTGACGCAGTCACACATGGTGCAGCAGGTCCTTCGGCGGTTCGACTTCCAGTTCTCCACCACTCAGCCCACTCCTCTTGCTGTTGACCACAGACTCACTGGCCCCTTTCCTGACGAGCCCTTTGAGTCCAGTGGACCGTACGCAGAGCTGGTGGGCTGCCTCATGTACCTGATGACTTGTACTCGACCGGACCTCGCCTTTCCCCTCAGCATCCTTTCTCGCTTTGTTGCGACTAGGAGACACCGCCCTGTCCACTGGACAGCTGCTGTGAGGGTGGCGAAGCACCTGGCGACTACATCAGGCATGGGGCTTGTGCTTGGCGGGACTCGGCCAGTGGCGTTGACTGGTCACTGTGACTCTTCCTACGCTGACGACGTGGAGCCTCAGCGCTCGACTCAGGGTTACTGCTTCAGTCTGGGAGCTGGTGCTGTGTCGTGGAGGTCTACACGGTCGTCGTCTGTGGCTACTTCCAGTGCAGAGGCAGAGATCTACGCGGGTGCCATGGCGGCACAGGAGCTTCGCTGGTTGACCTTCTTGCTCGCCGACCTTGGTGAACGGCCTCGCTCTGCACCGACCTTGTACGCTGACAACAAGGCCATGATCCTCCTGTGTCGAGAGCCTCGACTGGAGAGCAGAGTGAAGCATATTGACGTGAGGTACTTCCTCCTGCGAGAGCTGCAGCGACGCGGCCAGGCACGCCTGGACTTTGTAGCCTCAGAGGCCAACACTGCAGACGTCTTCACCAAGGCCTTGGCGCTTGGTGATCACCATAGGTTCTGTATGCAGTTGGGGTTAGTTGAGGTAGGCCCTCGGTTGCTGTAGTCCTGTTGCTTGCTCTGCTTGTTGTGCCTTGTATTTATATCCTAGTGAACTCTTGAACTGGCCTTGTGGCCGCTTGCTTGCGCTCGGAATTTGTGTGGTGTCCTTGAGATCCACCCTGAGCTTGTCTTGGTTCTTGCTTTGACTGGTCTTGTGACCGTTTGTTCACCTTGCTTGCTTTGATGCCCCTCACTTAGCCTATGGGGGTGTGTCAAATGTTGAACATTGATATGATAGGCTGTAGTGAGTTGCACTCTAGGGGGTACAGTTTCTAGGGTTGCTTATTTGTACCCCATTCGTTTCTATTCCAATCATTCCGTTGCTAACCACTCTTGAGAGCAAAGTCATCTTGACTTACTGCCCCACTGGTGACATGGCAGCTGAGTTCCTCATCAACAAACTACCACGTCAGCAGTAGCATCATTGCGGAAATATATGCGGCGTAACCAAGCGCGTCAAGACTTCGCTCCTCGAAGAATGAAGGAGAGTGTTACGATATGGAATAGTTAAATAAACATTCCTAAGTTACGAATCATTAACGCGAAGATGACTGCAGCGAGGACGAAGACCAAGCGACAAGACAGTTATCGAAGACAGTTACAAGCAGGAAGAATTCGAAGTGCAAAGCGCGGGAAAACTTCAAACGGTTACCGAACCACGTACGGTTACCGAGCCGGACGGTTGCAATCATGCATCTAGATTAGCCCTAAGGGGAATGTACCCCCTCAGAGTACATGGCTAGCTAGGAGCTTTTGTATTCTATATAAACCCTTGTACCGCATTGTATTAGTCACTTCTGTCGAGATTCAAATCTCCCTCTTTTGACAGAGTCCGTACTGACATTCCCAAGCAATCTTCCGCTGCTACACTACGTGCGATCAACCTGAGACGATCCTATAAGACGGTTCAGATTGTATCACAAACCACTCCGGAGTCGCTTCTGCACCAATCGTAACCCTCCCGAGCCATCATCGCCCGACCTTCCCACCTAGCTAGGTTCTCCCCTAGTCTCGACACTTGTATCGTCATCAGTATTCGACATTCTCGTTATTCGTTATTCTGCGCACTCTGCAAGCATAACAGTTAATACCTTTATATAACCATTTACCATCGTGACCGATTTATGTTCGGTGTGGAAACCGCGGTTTTGTAGGGCATGCGAGAATCCTACTTTTAGGGCAAACGAATGCCCTTTCAGCAGGTTGAGAGGTCACTAGCAGCCGATCTGGTCTGCTTGCGCTACTTGCTTGCGCCCTTCCCGCTTCCGCCATGGCTGCCTCTCGCGTTGTCGCGCTCTCCTCTTCGCAACTATCCGTATCATTCCACCGCGCGCAATGCCGCGTACGGACAGAGCTGCATCCGGACAGCCGCACGCCACCATTCTCATGCGCGCAAGGCATGTCCAGAGCCGCCGTCCGCCAGGGCCCACATACTGCGCGCAGCGAAAGACGTTCGCTGCGGGTGCTTGCGGCGGGGGAGCGCAAAGACGAGGCGGGGTCGGCGGGCGAGGGGAAGGACGCGGAGAAGGTTCCGGGGTGGGCGCAGCCCGGGAGCGGGGAGCTGCCGCCGTGGGCGCGCGCCGAGGCGCAGCGCGACAAGCCGTTTGAAGTGCCGTTCTGGGCGTACCTCCTCGCGTCCGTCCTCGTCGCCATCGCCGCGGTAGGTCGCATGTGGTGCCGGGGCTGGTGATGATGGGTGCGCTGGGCTGCGTGTTGGAGTACTAACAGGCGTACCGCACTCGCGCGCTGCTGTGCGTGTTCCTCCACCCGCGCCGCAACGCTGCACCCCGAGCACCGGCCACCACGGCAGAGGCGGCGCACCAGCGGACGGGGGTATTCAATGTGGCAAGGCACACGAGCATAGAGGCCCGGTGGCTAGAGGGCGAGTTGATGAGCGAGGGGAACCGCGCGTATGCGCATGCCTCCACCACTCCGAGCGCCCTCCGTTCTCAGGCTGCCCCCTTGCACCCGTGTGAACCCCTGTGAACCGCATGTGCAGGTGGGGTCCATCTTTGAGTTCACGGCGGGCAACCCGCTGTTCGGCGTGGTGAGCAGCGACAGCCCGATCTGGGCGCCCACGCTGCTGCTCTTCGCCACCACCGGCATCCCCTCCTCCGTGAGCCCTCCCCATACCCCTCTCCGCCCCACCCTCTGCGCTTCCCGTTTCCTTCTCTCCTCCCCTTACTAATCGCTCTCTCTCTCCTCCCTCCCTCCCTCCCTCCCTCCCTCCCTCCCTCCCTCCCTCCCTCCCTCGCTCCCTCCCTCGCTCCCTCCCTCCCCCCTCCCTCCCCCCTTCCTCCCTCCCTCTTCCATCCCTTCCATCCGCCCCTATCTCTCCCTGGCGTTATCCCTGTCTCGCTCTTCCCCTGTGTCGTGCATGCGTCACTCATGTGTCATGCCACGCGCCCCGTGCATTCTGTCACACGTCTCCATCTAGTAGCGGCTGATAGGAGTACCCTAGAGTGCATGCTTGACTTCCCAACCCTCCGCTGCTCAATCCCTGCAGGCTGCACCGCACAGCGTCTCCCGTTCCTCAGCGCTGCACTGCTCTGTCCTCCATTCCCTTCCCACCTTGCTCTGGCTCTGCACTGCTTCAACCCAAACCACTTTTTATGCTGCCACCCTCCTGGCCCGCCCCCTCTCTCCCAGGGCTACCTGCTGTATCTGGCGATCCAAGCAGCCAACAAGGCAGCTCGGGAGGCGGACGAGCAGGACAGGGTGTGAGGGGCAGTGGTTCTGGGGAACAGGATGTCAGGGCCGTGGTGCAGTTGCCGGGGCGGTACAGGGCGTGTGTGTTAGATCACACAACACCGAAAATGTAACTCTTTGTAGGACAACCATTCTTTATCGTTATATGTAATTTCCCAATCAGAGCACTCATTTTCATTTGAAGGCGTAGGTGTGTAATGAGAAAGTAGTGCAAGATATTCGCAGACGTGTGTAAGATGTGATGGCACCCAGTTCCCAGGGTACACAGGTGAGAGTCCTGCAACACCACATCAACGCAACATGAGAACACGGGAACACGAGACTCTCAGAATCTACATGCAACGGAATGCTTGGGATTAGGGTTTGCAAGCATACAAATAGGAGTCCTACAAATGTTGTACCCTCTAGGGAGTGCCTCACTGCAGCCTATCATAACATTAACATTTGACACACCCCCATAGGCTAAGTGAGGGACACCAGGGCAAGCAAGGTGAAACAAACGGTCACAAGACCAGTCAAGGCAAGACAAGCTCAGGGTGGATCTCAAGGACACCACACAAATTCCGAGCACAAGCAAGCGGCCACAAGGCCAGTTCAAGAGTTCACTAGGATATAAATAGGAAAACACAACAAGCAGAGCAAGCAACAAGACTACAGCAACCGGGGGCCTACCTCAACAAGCCCCAACTGCACACAGAACTGTGGTGATCACCAAGCGCCAAGGCCTTGGTGAAGACGTCTGCAGTGTTGGCCTCTGAGGCCACAAAGTCCAGGCGTGCCTGGCCGCGTCAATATGCTTCACTCTGCTCTCCAGTCGAGGCTCTCGACACTGGAGGATCATGGCCTTGTTGTCAGCGTACAAGGTCGGTGCAGAGCGAGGCCGCTCACCAAGGTCGGCGAGCAAGAAGGTCAACCAGCGAAGCTCCTGTGCCGCCATGGCACCAGCGTAGATCTCTGCCTCTGCACTGGAAGTAGCCACAGACGACGACCGTGTAGACCTCCACGACACAGCACCAGCTCCCAGACTGAAGCAGTAACCCTGAGTCGAACGCTGAGTCTCCACGTCGTCAGCGTAGGAAGAGTCGCAGTGACCAGTCAACGCCACTGGCTGAGTCCCTCCAAGCACAAGCCCCATGCCTGATGTAGTCGCCAGGTACTTCGCCACCCTCATAGCAGCTGTCCAGTGGACAGGACGGTGTCTCCCAGTCGCAACAAAGCGAGAGAGGACGCTGAGGGGAAAGGCGAGGTCCGGCCGAGTACAAGTCATCAGGTACATGAGGCAGCCCACCAGCTCTGCGTAGGGACCACTGGGCTCAAAAGGCTCGTCGGGAAAGGGGCCAGTGAGTCTGTGGTCAACAGCAAGAGGAGTGGGCTGTGTGGTGGAGAACTGGAAGTCGAACCGCCGAAGGACCTGCTGCACCATGTGTGACTGCGTCAGTGTGATGGTGCGAGCGGCTCTGTCCCGGGTAATCTGCAAGCCAAGGTAACGCTGCAGCTCACCCAGGTCAGTGCACTTGTGTCTCTTCTGCAGTTCGGACTTCACCTGAGCCAGGGCTGCCCTGTCTGCTGTAGCAAACACCAAGTCGTCGACGTAGACAAGGATAAATAAAGGAGTAGAACCCGCTCGAACAAACAGCGACGAGTCGGCGGAGGACGGGCTGAACCCAAGGTTACGAAGCGTGGAGCGAAGAGTGTCGTGCCACTCACGGGGCGACTGGCGGAGACCGTAGACTGGTCGCCTCAGGCTCCACTGGGTCCCAGGTGGGAAGGTGTCAGTGAAGCCAGGAGGACGGCGCAGCCAGATCTCCTCGTGCAGTCGGCCCTGGAGGAACGCAGTGGAGAAGTCGAGGGAGTGCAGCTCGTAGTCTCGCTGCGCTGCTATGTGGAGTAACACCCGAAGAGTAGTCATCTTCGGGGTCGGGGCGAAGGTCTGGAAGAAGTCAACTCCCTCACGCTGACTGAAGCCCCTAGCCACGTAGCGCGCCTTGAACACCTGCGGTGCTCCAGGCGGCCGCTTCACCTTGAAGAGCCACATGCCATCGACCACGTTCGCCCTGGGAGGGGGAACTGCGTCGACGTAGGTGCCTGTGGATCTCCAAGACGCCAACTCTGAGTCCATAGCCGCTTTCCACTGAGAGGCCCACGCCCCTGACACTGCCTCGCGGTAAGTGCGAGGAGTCGGTATGTCAAGGGCGTCGGGGTCTCCCTCAGGGGAGAGCAGCATGGCACACACAGAGGGAGAAGCGGCTGCCCAGTACTCCAGCTCAGACTCTCTGTCCTCTAGGACGTCACAGCCAAGGGCAAACTCACCCCCGACGGAGAGAGGACGGTAGGGAGGATCTGGCACCACACGGGTGGCGTAGTCAAGGCGGCTGGCGGCAGCAAACTCAGCGACAGCGGCAGTGAGAGCAGAGACCGACGACGGAGGGAAACGAGAGTCGGTGACAAGAGTGGCGAGGACACGTGCGGCAACAGGACGAACAGTGCGGTAGTAGTCAGTGATAGGAGTGGGGAGGGCTGGGAGAGAGGACGGAGGAGGAGACGGGAGAACGGACACAGGAGAAGGAGAACGACGACGAGACGTACAAAGGAGGGCAGTGTGGAGGTCAGTAACAGGGGACGAGTGACGAGCACGCGGAGGACAACGAGTGACTAAGTCGCGACGGACCGAAGGAGGAGGAGACTGGGGAGGAGGAGAAGACCAGACCGCCGGACGATCGTCAGGAGGAGGCAATGGAGGAACGAACACAGGAGGAGACTGGGAGCGGACAGGAGGAGAGGAGGAAAAGCCAAGGGCCCGCAGGCCACTCACAGGTGGGAACAACTGCCGCTCCAGAGGAAGCTGCGGTGGCGGCTGCGGCTGCTGCTGCTGCGGCGGCGGCTGCGGCTGCGGCTGCTGCTGCGGCTGCTGCTGCTACTGCTGCTGCTGCTGCTGCTGCTGCTGCTGCTGCTGCTGCTGCTGCTGCTGCTGCCGCTGCTGCTCCAGAAGGTCTAGCACCCGCAGCTCCTGCCGCTCCCTCTCCAACCGCTCCTGCTCCTCACGCTCACGCCGGCGGGCAGCCTGGAGTCATGTGTCGTGGCGGTGGGGAGGCGGAGTGGACTCCGCAGAACCTGGGTCAGACTCCTCAGAGTCAGCACCCCCAGAACCAGCACCTCCAGTGCCAGGACCTCCAACTCCAGCACCCCTAGTACCAGCACCTCCAGTGCCAGGACCTCCAACTCCAGCACCCCCAGAACTAGCACCACCAGTGCCAGCACCTCCAGCTCCAGCACCCCCAGAGCTAGCGCCACCTGCGCCAGCACCTCCATCTCCAGCACCCCCAAAGCTGGCGCCACCTGCGCCAGCACCTCCAGCTCCAGCACCCCGCGACTGAGTACCCCCAGACCTAGCACCGCCAGTGGCTGCACCTCCAGCCCCAACACCAACCGAGTCCACAGTAACCTGTCGCGGAAGTGCCGAAGGCTGCTGAGGGGACTGTGAGGAGGACTGCGGGGAGGGAGACGCTACCTGACGCGCGACCGAGGGTAGAGGGGTAACGTGGGACACACCAGACGAGGCAGGACCAGGGGGGGGCGGGGGTACCGGAGGAGCGGGAGCAGGAGGAGGAGAGGGTGCGAGGAAAAGAGGGGGAGGGGGTACCGGGAGACCTCGACAGGGGTACTGGGTGTAGTAGGACACGGACTCGTCAAACCGGACGTGGATCATGGACGTGCGGGCGATGTCCATGACCAAGCCTATGCGGCGCTCAGCAACCCCATTCTGCTGTGGGGACTCTGGCAACGTCCAGGACTGGGTGATGCCCTGTTCGCCGCAGAATCCGCCGAGAATGCCGGAGCGAAACTCGCCCCCACGGTCGGAGTGGAGACAACTGACTCGACGACCACGAGTGCCCTCAGTGGCTAGAAGCCACCTGATCAGCGTAGCAGTCACCTCTGACTTCTTCGCAAGAGGGAACACTGTGGTGTACCTGGAGAAGTCGTCAACGACCACCAGAAAGTAACGCTCCCTCCCAGACCCCTGCGTCGGGGCAGGGCCCCAGACGTCCAAGTGGAGAGTCTTGAAGGGAGCGGTGGCCGGACGAAGGGAGGAGGAGTGGGGAGTGGCGCGTAAGCGACCGGCGACGCACGGAGAGCAAGGAGGGGCAAGCGAGAGAGGGAGCGACGGGAAGGTGCGTGGGAGACCTGAGACAAGTCCCTGACTGAGCATGCCACGTAGGCGAGGGAGCGACGGGTGGCCAAGGCGGTGGTGCCACAGGACGGTGCGGTGGGTGAGAGAGCGACAGGAGCAAGACGCCGCGACTGGACTGGGCATAGCGACCGGACCGGACACTACTACCTGGCTAGACACAGCAACTGGACTGGGGACCTGGGCTGGAGGGGACGCAACGACCTGAGGGGAGGACGCGACCGGGGAGCGCTCGGTGTGGAGAACGTAGAGACCGGAGCGGGGCTCCCTGGTGAACGTGGCCAGAACAGCACCTGTGGTAGCGTCTGTACAGACTGCAGTCCGCCCACCCCCCACGAAGGTAACCGTGATCCCCCTGTCCTGGAGGTATCCAACACCCACCAAGTTCCGAGTGAACGAGGGGATGTGGAGGCCGCGCAGGACACCAGAGGGGACCACAGGGCACGGGAGGGTGGTGGAGCTACGCGCAACGGCTGGTCCAGAGGTAGGATCAGCCAGAGCCACCGACACAGGTGTGAGGAGTGGTGTAAGGGTCGTGTGGTCGCGGAAGAAGCACTAAGACGCGCCCGAGTCCAGCGTGAACGACAGAGAGGCCTCAGCCGGCGGGTCACCTGACCCAGTTGCTACACAAGCACCTAGAGCAGCAACACAAGCACCTAAGCTAGACAGGCACAAGGCTAGCAGGAGGCAAGCAGGCTAACCTACGAACACGCGAGCACACAGACCCATCAGCACTAAAGTCAGCATCAACATACAAAGCATGCTGACGCGCATCGTCCATGGACAAATCAAAGACATAAATCTTACGGGCTAAATGACGAGACCAGCG